TTAAATTTTGTCTTTGAAAAGTATTTACTAATTGGTTTGTCCTTAAATCATAAAGCTCCATGTATCGTGCACCCTCACGTGTAGTATCAACTAAAAAATAATGCTGATTCAAACATCTTGTAATATATTTCATGCTAAAACCAGCTTCTGCCAATTTACTATTATAACTCAGGGCATTATATGTTCGCTTTGGATATCTAAATTTCTTACACATTTTATTAGCACTCGGAATCAAGACAAAGTTTTTATAAATCCCATTGACATTTAAAATGTTAAGAAAGAATTGTTTCATATTCGGCATATTCGGCATATTTGGCATATTCTGCTTCTTACCGTGATCATCTCTTGAAAACAATTTGACTATTCCGCCAAATTCGTTATATTCCCTCACTTTTTCTCCAATAGAATTATCTTTTTTAATAGGAAAAACGATGGTAAACCCTGGTGTCACCTTTTTTTTAGTATCTTCTCTTTTAGTTTCTTCTTTTTTAGAGCTATCTTTCTTAGTGTATTCTTTAGGTGACATATCATCCTCGCTTATACAAGATATCGCCAATAATCTAACAACTGATTTATGTGGCCAATCACCGCTAAATCCATCTGATACAGCAATAGACCAACTCAATGCATTTTCAGATGTAATTAACTCATATTGTTTTTCTGTAAATTTAAATGTTTTTGAGTTAGAAATATGAGAAAATTTTCTATCCGAATAACTATCATCATAATTCAGATTCGAGTGGTCATCTTTATCATCTTTATCCGACTTAATAATAATTTCATACATGCGAAATTTGTATTTCAATTTGGGATCCGGTTCATTTTTGAATAATACTGTAAATTTGGTAGTTATTATAAATTAAGAATTACAAAAGAATTTCGTTATTAAAAGCAATACATTATAATAAATAGTTTTTTTTTTAGTTTTTCTGTAGAAATTTTACCTAATTCAACTGCAAAATTGCCGTTTGGACTAATAGCCAAATATAGTTCTTTTATTTTTTCTTCTTCAACTTCGACAGTAACACTTCCAGATGACATGTCACGATAATTTCTTGATGTTTAAATTAATCAAATAAAATATGAAATAATTAATGAAATTACTGCATTGAAATTTCTGTGGACTAAAATTTTTGAAGACACATTATCTTATTTTATTAATTTTTTTTAACTCGATATCATTCCTACTTTTATATTATAGTGGCTATTCAAAAGTACAGATACTTTCTTGCGTCAAGCCACTTGTTTTTATTTGTTTTTTTTTTTAATCAACAAATCTATCAAAAGGTATATATGCAATGCGGCATACTGTTGACACAGAACTGGTCAATATGAGTAAGGCTTGTAATCGACATGAATAAGAGTTGCTGAGAAACGAAATTTATCTTTTTTGACAGTAGAAAATTAGCGCTAAGCCTTTTAAAAATACGCATGGTTTATAAGTGTATTATTTTTAAAGAGGTTTCTAGTCATTATTGATTCATAAAAAAGTATTTTTGATTTTTTTCCTATCCAAAAATAACGTTACGCGATTTTTTTTATAATAGAAAAGGTATTTTCATTTGAGACAATTTTAATAATATAATATTTAATACGAAATCGGTACAATAATTTTCAGAATTTTAACAGATAATATAAAAATGATATTTTAAAGTCTTTAATTTCACGTGAGAAGGTATCAAGTACGTCAGTGTTACAGAGTTGCAAGTGTAACGATAGCAACATATCAAAAAAAAAAAAACCATATTTAATTTTAATCAATTAGAATTCCAGTGACCAGTCAACCAAACGAATTTTCTCCTGCTTAGATTGAAACTATTTATAAGAAATGAAAAATAAGAAACTTAATAACGAAAGACGAAAATTACGAAACTCCTGCGAAAGACAAAACGCTGATGAATGATGAAGATAAAACTTCCGCAAAAACAAATCCCTTGTGAAAGATGAAGCCTCAATCCAACAAGAAATTCCTTGTAAAATATAAAGCCTCAATCTAATAAGAAATTCCTTGCAAAAGAAGAAGCCTCAATCCAATAAGAAATTCCTTGCGAAAGAAGAAGACTCAATCCAATAAGAAATTCCTTTTAAAGGTGAAGCCTCAATCCAATAAGAAATTCCTTGTGGAAGATGAAGCCTCAATCCAATAAGAAATTCCTTATGGAAGATGAAGCCTCAATTTAATTTGAAATAAAAGCCAATGCAGTGGTTTGTGGGCAAAGTTATTATTCTTTAATAATCCCTCTGCTTAATATAAACTAAATAAAAATAAGCTAGAGCAACGCCATAAGTTTAAAATATATTACTAAATAAATATATGAAAGCAACGGTTTCTTTTGTTTATTTGTTGCAAAGCGGCAAACTATACCGCTGAGTGCTGACTGATTTATCTTGGTACTTGTAAAATTTAAAGAAATACACGGGATATATTTCCATTTATTTTCATTTTGTACCTTATAATTTCCAGGTCATAAATAAAATTATGGCTTTCGTTGAGGTCTAAAAACAAAATATATGAGTAATACATGTAAATATAACCACTTTTAAACAATTGAGATATGATATATAAAAATTCTCTTAATCAGGGTAGCTGTTAGAGGTAGTCACGCTTGAACCAGGAATGTAGTATAATCACTAAACTCATATTAAGAATTCAAGAACCTTTTTAATGTTTGAAAATAGTAACTAATTAACATATGCAATCTATTTCAAAGCATTGTTTATCTTATCAATTGCAAATCTCATGAGGTATAGGTAGGGATGAGGAATTCAAGTTTACTATGTATGCTACATGGTTTACATGTAATATTTTATATATATGTCGTAAGTGGGAATGGAATTTAAGTGGATTTGGAATTTCCTAGTTTAAATGGAAACAGTATTTTTATATAAATAAGTAGCTGCGCAACGCAGTTGCGCAAAACCGGGAACGGGAAAAATCTATGCAGACACCATTTCAGTCACGGGAAACCATATTCTTCATCGCAATCCATTCCTAGTATGAGAAGTCGATAGTACTTGCAATCTGAATATTGGATTGAATTTCAGTGACCGAGCCTAAAACCTATTGATGAAGTCAATGTCTGACTGCTATATAGTTGGTTAGCTAGCGTCACTCGATTCCAATGAATCCGACCCAAAATTCTGGGGCCCTGCAAAAAACATTAAAATCTAATTTAGCGTATTTAGAAATGATCGACAAATTCTTTCAAGTCTTTGACGATCAGTGATTATCATTTTATCAGCCCGACAAAAAATTCGATGAAAAAAAATGAAAATTACAAATATTTAGCATTGAGGCCTTTAAATTTATATTGGGACACTAATTTTTGTACCTAAAAAACTTATTTTTTACTATTGTTTGTTATAGAATCGTCGATTTTACAGATGTATGCGCTCATTTATGTTTTTTTTAAAAAAATATTGAATGACGAATAAGTCACGCGAACCAATCAATTCCAAGATTTTGCGTACAGAGGCATTCGTTCCTGGTACCTACCTTTTAAAGTATTGTTCAGGGTGCTACACAAAGTCACAATGAAGGATAACCCAATCATATGCTAAGAATCGCACACACCATTTCACTCTTAAGTAAACCATACCCTATGTGTTTCATACTCCGTTTCTGGTATGTGCATAATAATAATCACAATAATACTGTAATACCTATACAATAATAACTTTCCAAATACAAACCTCGCTTATGTCATAAATAATTAAATATACAACTTATAAATCAAACACATCATCCACCTCTTTTACGCAATATACATACAATAATCCAAAATGCGCATTTGCTAAAATTTAAACTTTAACCTTGC